TTGGGCTTTCTTATGAGAGCTCTGATTTTTGGTCATTTCCATGTCCTTCTCCCTAGATGAACAAATCTACATGCTAACGTTTCAATTTTTGTCTCTTGGTCTTCAATTTTGTTTGCTAAGTTGGCTGCGAGGAGAGACGTGGAGAGCTACACGTCCTTTTCTAGTTGCAGTTCCTTCTCTAGACATTTAATTTTGGCTTCTGCTGCTAGCTGGACCTTCATTGCCAAAAGAAGCAGCCAACCCACTGCAGCGGCTATTGGCTGCCCTTCCGTACCCTGGTGCACTATGCAGCTTTTGGTTAAAACTGCTTCAGGCCACCAGGCATTTTCAAGGCATCCCTGCACTCACACAGAGGTGCACAGGTATCGAACAGTTGTGCCGTCCAACCCTACACAGATGTGGCTGACACCCTGGTATTTCCTTACAGATGCTTCATTCTCCTTACCCATTCCTTGTTCTCCCAGCTCCTGGCTGGGGGATCACCAAATGTTCTACCATGAGCAGGTCTACACAAATCTACCCCTAAAGGTTGAGGGGAAAAGAGATCAAAGAAAGAGACTGACAAACACAGTTTCTCACAGAGAAATACTAATGGAGACTTCCAAACAGAAGTGATATCTGAGGTGGCCACGAGATGGTGGATTCCTGCACTCCCTCTCCAAAAAATATCCTTTCTAGAGTAAGGTTTTAGGAGAAAACATGTGCAACTGGTCACATCGCAGACTTTCTTGCCGAAACCCATGACTGCTGGGGAAGTTAGATAAGCATCTTTGTGAGACGTTAGTTATGCTACAGGCATTGTTTTAAAGCCTTGATGCAGAACACCTTGGTATGGCAGGAGTCAAACACTCGTCATCTGGCCAGGTGCAGTGGCTCACACCTGTAATCTCAGCACTTTGGGAGGCCAAGGCAGGAGGATCACTTGAGGCCAGGAGTTCAAGACCAGCTTGTGCAATAAAGTGAGGCTCTCTCTCTAGAAAAAAATTTTAAAAGTTAGCCAGTCGTGGTGGCATACAACTGTAGTCCCAGCTACTCAGGAGGCTGAGGCAGGAGGATTGCCTGAGTCGAGGAGTGGAAGGCTGCAATGAGCTATGATTGCACTACTGCAAGACTCCATCTAAAAAAAAAAAATGGCCATCATGGTGATTTCACTTCAAGATGGTATCACTCTTACCATGCAACAGGCTGTTTTCCTATAGCCGTATTGGTAACATCCAACTCTTTGGTTTGCTGACACTGGAGAAACCCAATAAGTGGTGGAAGATGGAGCAGTTTCTACTGCTGTGAGTTGGGGTGAACCCACCAACAGACTGCTAATTCTCTGCTGAGGGCTCTGTCCCAGGTAGGAGCCCTCCATTACCTTGTGGGCTCAGAGCAACTTAGCCTCCAAAGCAACTCCCCTCTGTCTTCCAAGACCTGGAGGACCCTCTTCCCCGGACTCATGAAAAGGATACGTGCAGCTCTTCTGGGAGGGGATTTATGAGAATCTCAGGTCTTTGCCAAGAGCCTCTTGGAAGATTTGACCTTAGCAGACCAGAAAGTCTTTCCTTTGGGAATCCAGGGAACACTGTCTCTCTGCTCCCCAAGGGAGCACTCTTAGAGAGATGAGTGTCACCAGCTCCTCCACCCTGATGGATAGTCAGGCCTGGAGCACATGGAAATGCCCTGGGAACCTCAACTTCAAGTGAATATGCCCCCCCGCCACCCCTCCACACACACACAGAGCAGGTAGTTGTACCACCTCCACCTCATCCTGCTCTCGGCTCTTCACGTATCACAACCTGATCGCTGTGTACCACAGGCGTCACACACGAGCCCGCAGCATCTTGGCACCCGCCCTCCCTCCTTATCTCTCCCAAGTCAATTTTCTGGCCAACCGCAGTGTCTCAGAGATGCAGGGAATTTGCCTGGGGCAAAAAGGATTAGAAAATGCAGACACACAGATAAGAATGAGGTCTCTGGATTTTACTGTGGAGATTCTGAATGCCAGATGGAGTCCAGCATGGGGGTTTTCTCCTGTAACTGAGAAGTTCATCTCAGAGCTACAGACACCCACCCCGGGGCACGGCACAGCTTCTCTTTGTCATGTGTGTTAAATGAGATGTGTTTATTTCTTAGCTAAACGAGCAATATAGTATTCTCTTTCCAGTGTCTGGTAAAGGCAAGAGAGGCGAGGAATGTCTTCCTCAAGATTTTCAGGATCTCAAACAAAGCTGGGAGGGGTCTCCTGGGATGAATGAAAGGAAACCAGGTCTTGGGTCCCCAGGTCTCTTCCTTCCTGAAGAATGCGGCACTCGCTTCGGGAGCTGCTCAGGGTCCGTTGTTCCTCCCACTCATCTCCATGGCTATCGAGGATACTGGTCTCCTCCAGAACCAGTTAGGGCTCCACCTGGGCCTGTGGGGGGCTCCACGATTCCCTCCAGGGCCTGGGCCAAGGCCATGGGGGCGGTAGACAGCTGTGTTAAAGATGTTTCTCAGGGACAGGCTGTTTCTCTAGAAAAAGAAGAGTCAGTAGTTTCATAATTGTATCCCTGTCTCCCAAGCCTTCACCACAGATGCCTTCTGGAATCTTCTCCCACTTCCAGCCACACTCCTTCCTAGTTCTCCTTCCTCCAGTCCTTTCTGTGGCCCCCTTTTCCTGCAGGTCACCAGCTTCCTCTGCTTTGACCTGCCATTTCTCTGTGTTACTCTCTCCTGATCTCCCTTCCTCCCTACCCACCTCTGACTTGAGACCCCTTCTATTCACACCCGTTTCCCTGTGTTTCTGCTGCTCCCTCCCCAGGCATTTTCTTACATATTAGGCACTCACCACACAGAAGAAGAGCCCAGCAAACAGCCCCACGGCCGCCACAACCGAGACCAGCGTGACGAGGAAGATTTCCCATGGCAGCAGGGACCCCCCAGGCTCCGCCCCACTCACTGCAGTAGAGGCACTTGTGATAACTCTGTGGGAAGTTGTGTGCGTCCCAGTCAGAGTGGGTGTTCCAGAGCCTGCGGAGGTCACACTGGACCCAGAGCTGGTGGCTGTGCTGGCCCCACTGGAGGGTGTGCTGGAGTCAGAGCTGGTGACTGTGCTGGTCCCTCCAGAGGTTGTGCTGGACTCAGAGCTGGTGGCTGTGCTGGTCCCACCGGAGGTTGTGCTGGACTCAGAGCTGGTGGCTGTGCTGGTCCCACTGGAGGTTGTGCTGGACTCAGAGCTGGTGGCTGCGCTGGCCCCACTGGAGTTTGTGCTGGACTCAGAGCTGGTGGCTGTGCTGGCCCCACCGGAGTTTGTGCTGGACTCAGAGCTGGTGGCTGTGCTGGCCCCACTGGAGGTTGTGCTGGACTCAGAGCTGGTGGCTGTGCTGGCCCCAGTGGAGGTTGTGCTGGAGTCAGAGCTGGTGGCTGTGCTGGCCCCACTGGAGTTTGTGCTGGACTCAGAGCTGGTGGCTGTGCTGGTCCCACTGGAGGTTGTGCTGGAGTCAGAGCTGGTGGCTGTGCTGGCCCCACCGGAGGTTGTGCTGGACTCAGAGCTGGTGGCTGTGCTGGTCCCACCGGAGGTTGTGCTGGACTCAGAGCTGGTGGCTGTGCTGGTCCCAC